TCCAGTCCTTGCGCACTCCTCCACGGTCCTGCCGTGTCCGGCGGTCCCGTCTGGCTCCCTGTTAGGTCTTCACCTCCCCTCGTTCTCTACGAACTTGGTGAGTGGTGCTGACCTCCAGGACCAGTGGGTTGACCAGTTCACTCCTGGAGGTCAGCGCGTGACCCACTGTACGTGGTCCCGGACGGGCCGGCACCTGGCCGCGTTTACCCGTGCGCCTGGCTCGAGTCTGTACACACTGACTACTGTGTCCCCTCAGGTCGCTGCGTCTGCGTCTGCGTCAGGTCAGCTAGCGGCCCCCTGCTCGTGTCGCGCTTTGTCGCACCAGACCCTCCTTTGGCACCACCGCCTTGGTCACCCCTCGGTGCAGCGCCTTCGTAGCATGCACCGCCGTGTTCTTGTCTCTGGTCTTCCCAGGGTTCTCCCTCCCCTCCCACCCTCGCTTGCTCCTCCCTGTCTTCCCTGTGTCGAGGGGCGGCAGCGCGCCGCTCCTCACTCCTCCTCGTTTCCCCCGACGACTGCTCCCCTGCAGACCCTGCACATGGACGTGTGGGGCCCAGCCCGCGTCAGTGGGCAGGACCGCGAGCGGTACATCCTGCTGGTTGTTGACGACTACTCGCGTTACACCACGGTCTTCCCCTTGCGCACCAAGGGTGAGATCCCTGATGTTTTGATCCCTTGGATCTGCGCTGCCCGTCTCCAGCTCCGCGAGCGGTTCGGGACGGAGTTTCCCGTCCTGCGTCTGAACTCTGACAGAGGTGGGGAGTTTTCCTCCGACCTTCTGCAGAGCTTTTGTCGTGGGGAGGGCATTCGCCAGACTTTCACGCTTCCGGCCTCTCCGCAGCAGAATGGGGTTGCTGAGCGCCGCATTGGCTTGGTCATGGAGGTCGCTCGTACCTCCATGGTCCATGCGGCTGCCCCCCATATTCTGTGGCCGTTTGCGGTCCGCTACGCCGCGCATTATATCAACCTCTGGCCCCGTGTCTCCTTGCCAAGGACCTCGCCCACACTGCGGTGGACGGGGGAGGTTGGCGATGCGTCGGTGTTCCGGGTCTGGGGTTCTCGTGCCTTTGTCCGCGATACCACCGCGGACAAGCTCTCCGCCCGTGCTGTTCCCTGTGTCTTCCTTGGCTTTGTCCCTGACGCGCCTGGTTGGCAGTTCTACCACCCCACCTCGCGCCGTGTCTTCCCCTCTCAGGACGTCACGTTCGACGAGTCGGTTCCCTTTGACCGTCTCTTCCCCTACCACACTGCCCCTCTCCCCCCCCCGCCGCTCTTCCTCGCTCCAGGTGCTCCCCAGGTAGAGCCCCTCCCCGCTCCCGGTCCTGCTCCTTCAGGTGTGTCTCAGGTAGACCCTCCTCCCTTGTCTGCGCCGGTTGAGGTCACTGGTGACTCAGGTCCTGCTGGGGGTGGTCCTGCTCGGGGTGCTGCTTCTGGGGGTGCTGAGCCTGGGGGTGTGGAGCCTGGGGGTGCTGAGCCTGGGGGTGCGGAGCCTGGGGGTGCTGAGCCTGGGGGTGCGGAGCCTGGAGGTGCTGAGCCTGGGCGTGAGGAGTCTGGGGGTGCTGAGCCTGGGGGTACTGAGTCTGGGGGTGCTGCACCTGGGGGCGCTGAGGCGTCTGGTGAGCAGTCTCCCTGGAGCGGCCGTCTCAGTAGTCGCTCCGCTGGTGCCTCGCCGCTGCACTCTCGTCGTCGTCTCCCTCTCTCCCCACAGCAGCTGCGTGAGTGGTACGTTAGCCGTCAGGGTCGAGCTGCTGGAGCTGGGGGCCCTGCTGCGGGAGGTGCTGGTGTTAGAGGCACTGGAGCTGGCGCTGTCCCGCTCTCCCCACAGCAGCTGCGTGACTGGTACGTTCGCCGTCAGGATCGCGCTGCTGGAGCTGGGAGCCCTGCTGCGGGAGGCACTGGAGTTGTAGGCACTGGAGCTGGTGACTCTGCTACTGGAGGTGTTTCTCCTGGAGTTCCTGCTACGCCTGGGGGTGCTGCGCCTGAGCGTGAGGAGCATGGGGGTGCTGAGTCTGGGGGTGCGGCGCATGAGGGTACTGAGACTGCTGGTGCGCGGTCTCCTTGGAGAGGCCGCCTTCGTCCGCGTGCGCCTCTCTCCCCTCAGCAGCTGCACGAGTGGTACGCTAGCCGTCACGGTCCTGCTGCTGGAGCTCGGGGCTCTGCAGTTGGGAGTGGTGCTGGTACTTTGTCTACAGGAGGTGCTGGACTCGCTGGTTCCGGAGGTGCTCGTGCTGGAGGTACTGGAGCTGCTGGGGCTGGCGGTGCTGAGTCTGGGGGTGCTGCTGCTGGAGACCCTGGGGCTGGAGGTGCCGGTTCTGGGGGTGCTGCTGCTGGTGACGCTGGTACGGGAGGTGCTGGCGCTGGAGGTTCTGGGGCTGCTGGTGACGCTGGTACTGGAGGTGCTGGCGCTGGAGGCTCTGGAGCTGCTGGTGACACTTGTGCTGGTGGTGCTGGCGCTCGAGGAGTTGGAGCTGGAGGTTCTGGAGCTGCTGGAGGTGCTGGAGCTGGTGGTGGTGCTGGAGCTGCTGGTGCTGGTGGCGCTGCGCAGCCACGACTGTTCTTTGCTCCGCCGTCTCCGTCGTCTCTGCCACCACCTGACTCCGTGCTTCGCCAGGTTCTTAGTCTCCTGTCGTCTACTGGTCTTCCGTTACAGCATGGCTCACCGCTACCTGCTCCTTCTCCTTACACTGAGCAGCCAGGAGGTCTTGCTGAGCGTCGTGAGCCTGCGTCGCGTCCTGTCTCGCCTGTCCGCACTGGTCGTCGTGTTCCTCGTCCGCGTCCGCCGGCTGTCCCCGGCACACACCTCATGGCTCTGCGTCCGTCCTCTGCTCCGCAGCGTGTTCCTCTGCCGTCTCCTCCTGCGTCTTCTCTGCCTGTCGTTGCTGACCCTGAGTCTGACCGGTTTCGTGCTGAGCACCCTACTGTCACGCGTCTGCTAGCCACTGTTGTCACTGACCCGTCGTTTGAGTCTTCTGCTGCGTCTGCCTTAGTCGCTGAGCTTGTTGACTTTGCTGCTGCCTGTCGTCTAGACTACGCCGCTAGTCTTGTTGCTGAGTCAGAGTCTGTCTGTCCTCCGTCCGTCGGGGGTGAGTGTGCTCTTGGCACGGACGTCCCTGAGGACAGGCAGGAGGACCTTGAGTGTCTTGCAGCCGCTGCGCCTCATCTTGTGGCCATGCTGCTTGCCCCTGAGGGAGACCCGGATGCTCCAGACATCCCGACCCCGCGCTCTTACGCTGAGGCGATCGCGGGAGAGTACTCCTCTCAGTGGCAGACAGCCATGGACGCAGAGATGGCATCCTGGAAGTCCACAGGCACTTACGTTGACGAGGTTCCCCCTCCTGGGGCGAACATCGTCAGTGGCATGTGGATTTTCAGGGTGAAGCGGCCGCCGGGTTCTCCGCCTGTCTTCAAGGCTCGTTACGTTGCTAGAGGCTTCAGTCAGCGCGAGGGAGTTGACTTCTTCCAGACCTTCTCCCCCACCCCGAAGATGACCACTCTTCGGGTGCTGCTCCACGTTGCCGCTCAGCGTGACTACGAGCTTCACTCTCTTGACTTCAGCACAGCTTTCTTACAGGGCAGCCTGCACGAGGAGATCTGGCTGCGCCGCCCACCTGGCTTCACTGGGTCGTTCCCTCCTGGTACCCAGTGGAGCCTCCGACGGCCAGTCTACGGTCTCCGCCAGGCGCTGCGTGAGTGGCACGACACACTGAGGACGACACTTGCGGCTCTCGGGTTTTCTCCTTCGACTGCTGACCCGTCGCTGTTTCTGCGCACCGACACTTCGCTGCCGCCGTTCTACGTTCTCGTGTACGTCGACGACTTGGTCTTTGCCACTGCTGACTCTGAGGCTCTCGCCCTGGTGAAGTCGGAGCTGGAGAAGAGATACACGTGCACAGACCTGGGTGAGCTGCGCAGTTACCTTGGCTTGCAGATCACCCGGGACAGAGCACGCCGCACCATCACACTGACTCAGTCACACATGGTGCAGCAGGTCCTTCAGCGCTTCGGCTTCACCTGGTCCTCGGCACAGGCCACTCCTCTGGCTACAGGTCACTCGCTCTCAGTTCCACCTTCGGACGAGTCCGTAGAGCCGAGTGGTCCTTACCCAGAGCTAGTGGGCTGCCTCATGTACCTGATGACCTGCACTCGTCCTGACCTTGCGTACCCTCTTGGCCTTCTGGCTCGCTACGTGGCTCCTGGTCGACACCGAAAGGTGCACATGGATGCTGCTAAGAGGGTACTGCGCTACTTGTGCAGTACATCGGGCATGGGGCTCGTGCTTGGAGGACGGGGCGATGTTGTCCTCACTAGGCACTCGGACGCTTCTTGGGTTGACGACCAGGCTACGCAGCGGTCGTCACAGGGTTACACCTTCAGCCTTGGCTCTGGTTCGGTTTCTTGGCGTTCTACACGCTCGTCTTCAGTTCTCAGCTCCAGTTGTGAGGCTGAGATCTACGCCACAGCCATGGCTGCACAGGTGTTACGCTGGCTCACCTACCTGCTGACCGACTTGGGAGAGCGGCCTCGTTCTCCTCCAGTGCTGTACGTCGACAACAAGGCCGCCATTGCCTTGTGTCAGGAGCACAGACTGGAGCACAGAACGAGGCACATCGCTCTGCGTTACTTCCTGGCTCGAGAGTTGCAGCAGCGTGGTCAGCTTCGTCTTGCTCACGTGGCCACTCGGGCCAACACTGCTGATATATTCACCAAGGCGCTTCCGTCTGGTGATCATCAGCGTTTCTGCACTCTGTTAGGCCTTGTGCCCACGTTTCCTCACTTGCTGTAGACTTTGCTTGTACTGTGATCTATATATATACCTGCTGGCTTGCTCTGCTAGGTAGAGATCACTGTGCTGTTGTTGTTACATATATACCTCTGCATGTGAACTGGCCTTGTGGCCCTTTGCTTGTGCTCAGTGTGTGTGGTGACGTTGTGATTCACCCTGAGCTTGCTTTGCTTCTCTTGACTGGTCTTGTGACCCCTTGCTCTCCCCCACTTTGCCTATGGGGGTGTGTCAAAGTATATGCATGTTATATATGTGTAGGCTGTAGTGGGGTAGCCAATATGGGGTACAGCCCCTTTTAGGGTTTCATACTTGTACCCAACTCTTTCATAGTTCATTCATTCCTGTCTCTAGATTCTAACAGGTCGCACCTCCCATTTCCCCCCAGGTCGCTCCTCTCATTTCCCCCAGGTCGCACCTCCGTTTCCCCCAGGTCGCACCTCCCATTTCCCCCCAGGTCGCTACTCTCATTTCCCCCAGGTCGCACCTCCGTTTCCCCCAGGTCGCAACTCCCTTTCCCCCCAGGTCGCACCTCCCTTTCCCCCCAGGTCGCACCTCACTTTCCCCCCAGGTCGCACCTCCGTTTACCCCAGGTCGCACCTCCCTTTTCCCCCCAGGTCGCTCCTCTCATTTCCCCCAGGTCGCACCTCCATTTCCCCCAGGTCGCACCTCCCAATTCCCCCCAGGTCGCACCTCCTCCTACCTCCTCCCGTCCCTCACCCCCATGTTCCTTCCCAACCCCGCCCTCAGCACATTTTATCTCCTCCCTTCCCTTCCCCCCCTTCTTTCCCTCAAGTAATCCCCTCCATCCCCCCGTTTCCCCCCTCCATGCCCTCATTCCGATCCCTGCTTCCCCTCATTTCACCATTTTCTTCCCCTCATTTCACCATTTTCTTCCCCATTTCCCTACTACTTTCGCTTGGTTTCCCCCCTCCCCCCTTCCGCCACCCGCCATGTCGCAGCCTCGTGACCGCCACGGAACCGCCAGCTGCACGTTTCACAAGGCGCGCGAGATGCGTCCGTTCGCGTGCCAGCACCTTTCCCCATCACCCCGAACGCCTTCCTCTAGACCGCAGGTTGTGGTGAGTGCGTCCTTGGTGGGTGAGGTGGCAGGGGTCCCGTGGCAGCAGTGTGGGTGCGAGGGGCAGACACGTGGTGGGTGCGGGTTTAGAGTGGGATGTTCATCTCCCCTGCTCCTATGCCCATTTCTATCACACCTGACTTGCATAGAACCCTCATCCAAGCCTCCCCCCTGTCATCCTATGCCCACCCTGTCCTCCACCCCCCCATGTTCTCCTCTCTCTCCTCCGTCAACCTCCCTCCCCCATGTCATCCTCTCCCCCCCATTCTACCTCCGTCCCCCCTGTCCTCCTCTCTCCCCCGGTCCTCCTCTTTCCCCTCTGTCCTCCTCTCTCCCCTCTGTCCTCCTCTCTCCCCCTGTCCTCCTCTCTCCCCCCGTCCTCCTCTCTCCCCCATCCTCCTCTCTCCCCCCGTCCTTCTCCCTCCCCCCTGTCCTCCTCTCTCCCCCCTGTCCTCCTCCCTCCCCCCTGGTCCTCCTCTCTCCCCTGGTCCCCCTTCACTCCCCTTCTCATTCCTTTCCCGTTGCTTTCCTTATGCCCTGCCATTGCTCTGCCACTCTCCTCTTTTCCCCGCGTGCTTAGCTGAGTGTATCGTGCAGGCTGCAGCAGGGCAGCGGGGCGCCATGGAGGGGAGGACATCGGCGCCCTGCTACCACACACGCTGTAGGGCGAGTGGATGCTGGGCACTATGGCACTCTCCATTCGCCCTGCCACCACACGCGCCACTCATCCACCCCACCCCTCCTGCTTGGGCCTTCGACTTGCTGCTGCAGCTGGGGTGACTGCAGCATCATGTGCACTACATGGGCTCTCACCACTCAACAGGAGCTCATTACTAAACGTGTGAGCGGAGGCGACAACTTTTGAGGCGCCTCAAAAGTCGACTTTTGAGGCGCCTCAAAAGTCGTCTCAGCTCACGCGGATTTTATGTGGAGAGAATTATAACTGCTTGGAAGTGTTCACGTAACCTGCAAAGGTTACTGGTGCGTGCGCGGTTACCGAACCGATCAAGTCGTTGAAGACACTTCGCGAAGGTTGACAAAGCACATTGGGTTTACCCCCCTTGCTTAGTTGGCGATTGCTTCTGATTTGTAATCTGGGTAGTTGGTGTACAATAAGCTGATCTCGAGGGCAGTAGCAGGTACTTAGCCAGCTTCTGTCCGAGGCTTCTCTTTCTTGTGAACCTGGAAAGCAGCACTGATGAAGGCTTGACGGGGTTCTGTCCCGTTTGGCCGAAACTAGTTTGCGATTAAGGGTTTTTCGAGGTTTGGAGGCTTTGAGATTTTCTTTTCATTTCTAGGAACAAGTACCGTATCACAAGTCTTGATCCTTTTGCTAAGCGTTTTCTCATATTTTCGCTGCTACTCCCACTATGAATCTTGATCCTTGGGCTATTGAATGCGTTCCGTTGGAGGAGGAAGCCGAATTTGAGATTCGCAGCTCTGTTAAGCGATCTCGAGGGAGAGGGAATAAAGCGCGGTCTGACAAGAAGACCTCCGGGCTGCTTCAGACCAGCAGCAAAATTCCGCCACTGGCGTTAACCCTCGAGCCTGCGCTACGAAGCAAGCAATCTGAACCACCTCCCGCTGGACCTTCTGGAAGCCGTCCTTGCGACATGGCGGAACCTGCTGATGATTCACCAATCCCTGATCCGTTCAGAGGATGGGTTTCTGAGACGGTGAAGAAATTCCGCGACGGTTTCAAGAATTTGCTTAAGGCGAAGAGCAAGCTGAAGAAGATGAAGGAGCTCGACGGCCAAGGCACGATTCTGCACAGCCTCTGTACTAAGGCAGTCGAATTCCAGACCAAGTTCTACTCTGTCAAAGAGAAATCTACAGCGGCCGTGGCTGAAGTACATTTGACGAATCAGAAACGGTTGCAGACGGAGTTCATCGCCTCCAAAGCACTAGAGGTTGAGGAGATTCAGCGTTCAGTCACTGCACTTGTCCCGACTATGGCGACACGAATGGAAGACTACATCAAACGCCTAAGCTCAGATCCCGACTTGGTGGTTTCAGATGCCGCCAAGGAGAAGTTTCGACTGCTCAAGGGACGCTGTATTGTTTTGTCGCAGTCTGAAATCGCTACCGCCAAGGACGACATCACGATCCGGGAGTTGGAGCGACAGAGCAAACAGGCTGATGAGGATTTGAAGAAGGCTGCAGCATCGGAGGAGGTGCAGGAGATGGAACTCGAACCTGCGTTGGAGGAGATCCTAAACAAGCGGATTAAGAAGGTTGAGGACAAGTTACGCAAGGAAATTTCGGCGAAGCTTGAAGCCAGCCTATCGAAAAAGCTGCTGAAGGATCTTTCTCTTAAGGTACAGGAACCGACGCGGGCCGCTGCTGCTGATCCGAAGCAGAAAAATTCTACGGGGAAGCAGGTTACTGCTACTACCGATGGACCGAAGCCGAGGAGGAAGCGCGGTGGTAAAAAGAAGAAGCAGCAGAATTCCGGCACCAACACCGACAAGCAGGCGGGAGGCCAAGGCAAGACGGCCGCGACCAAGGGACCAAAAAACGGCAAAGGCGGCCCCGACAAAGGGCCGCGCAAGAAGAACTAACCAGCCATGAGCTGGCTCTCCGTTGGTTCGGGCGCATGACGCTGCGGCAGATTGAGTTACGCGTTCGTAACCGCGGAGTTCACAACCTCAGTGCCAAGATCTTGTCCCCGGATGAGAAAATGGCACTGGGGTTGGGTTTGAAGTTCATCCCCACGCCCTCCGTTTCCCTTTCGACTGGAATCGAGCTTGATCAGCTCTTTCGGCATATCTCGTTACACTTCTTCTTCAAGGATGCAGATGGCTTGACGAGGGATTCGCGCTTTCGAGTTAGGAACCCGAGTTGGCTACCTTATCGCATAGTTATTCCGGAGCAAGTCTTCACAGACTCGTCCTCGGACATGTCTTTCCTGTTGAAGGCATCCAGGCTGGATCGTCACCGAAACATCTCGTTAGGTGTGCGTACGGCTTTGCGCGCCATCGCTACAGATCGAGAAGTAGTCATCAAACCCGCTGACAAGAACGTGGGGATTACCGTCTTAGACAGGGATCATTACGTACGGTTGTGCATGAAAAATCTCGGTGACAGCGCCACCTACTCTCCTGTTCTGCATAATCCCACTGTCGAAGTCGTGCGTAAACTGCGTGATCTGAAAAGCGTTTGGGGCCCTGCTTTTCCCGAGACACTCTGGAAGTATTTCTTTGACGAACCGCCTGGGGGTTGGAAGCTTGCGGCATTCTACATCTTACCGAAGCTGCATAAAAAGGAGCTCGTGGGGCGACCGATCGCTGCCTCACATTCTTGGGTTACCTCTAATGTTAGCCGCTGGTTGGACGCAGAATTACGGCCGTGGGTGCTGCGGCAGCAGACTTACCTCCGCGACTCACTCTCGCTGCTTTTGAAGCTGGAAGAAACCGCCTTCCCGAAAGAGATCTTCCTGGCCACCTACGACGTTACTTCGCTTTACCCCAGCATTCCTTTAAGGCGAGGCATCGACGCAGTCAGCAGCATGTTACAGAGTGGGAGACACCCGAGCTACCTCCCGATTGTCGCCCTGCTGGAGTGGGTGATGATGAATTCCTATGTGGAGTTCGACGACCAACTTTTTCTTCAACGGCAAGGTACGGCTATGGGAACTCCTGCAGCTGTTTGTTTTGCCGTGCTTTTCATGAGTCGTCTGGATGAGGTGCTGAGGAGGAGATGGACTGGGACGGAACCACTGTGCCACGTTAAATACATTGACGATGGCTTGATCGTATGGCCTGGATCTCGGGATGAGCTGGAGGCTTACTTGAATATGTTCAACCAGCTCGACCCCAACATCAAACTGACGTGGCATGTCTCAGACTCATCGGCTGACTTTCTTGACATGGTCATCTTCAAGGGACCAAGGTTTGCCGAGAAGGGTATCTTGGATCTGAGGGTGTTTCAGAAACCTATGAATCGATACCTTTATCTCCCCTTTTCTTCTTTCCACCCGCGACACTGCCAGATAGGCTACATCAAGGCAGAACTGAAGCGGTACCTTCTCCGCTCAACATCTGCTCAGTATTTTCTCGCCTCTAAGCACGCGTTTTTCCAACGGCTTAGAAGTCGCGGCTATCCTGGAGATTTCCTTATGCCCATCTTCCGTTCTGTTTTCTTTCGACACCGACGCCTCATTTTGGAGGAAACCGCTGCACGCCAAGCACTCAAACTTCTCTCTCCCCCCACCCGCGGCCCCCTGGTCTTGAAGACCCTGTTCACCCCGTTGACAGCTCGTCTCAGGCTGGGGGTCCTTTTGAGGCGCCTCAAAAGTCGTCTCAGCTCACGAGGATTTTATGTGGAGAGAATTATAACTGCTTGGAAGTGTTCACCTAACCTGCAAAGGTTACTGGTGCGTGCGCGGTTACCGAACCGATCAAGTCGTTGAAGACACTTCGCGAAGGCTGACAAAGCACATTGGGTTTACCCCCCTTGCTTAGTTGGCGATTGCTTTTGATTTGTAATCTGGGTAGTTGGTGTACAATAAGCTGATCTCGAGGGCAGTAGCAGGTACTTAGCTAGCTTCTGTCCGAGGCTTCTCTTTCTTGTGAACCTGGAAAGCAGCACTGACAAAGGCTTGACGGGGTTCTGTCCCGTTTGGCCGAAACTAGTTTGCGATTAAGGGTTTTTCGAGGTTTGGAGGCTTTGAGATTTTCTTTTCATTTCTAGGAACAAGTATCACAAGTCTTGATCCTTTTGCTAAGCGTTTTCTCATTTTTTCGCTGCTACTCTCACTATGAATCTTGATCACCACTCAGCAGGAGCTCATTACTAAATGTGTGAGCGGAGGCGACAATAGTGGACAAAGGCTGTATTGTAACTCAAGTTACTTAAATGTTTAGGGTTTACATAAATGTTCTCCACACTTACCACTGTTGCAAAAGAAAATACCATTACGAATACCCACACATGATCACTGCTATCACTATTGAATATATAGAACCTCAAACTGATTAGGGTATTTCGTAAATAAATTGCTACGCAATGTTATGATACGGCAAGGGCCCACATCACACTATCCTAAATCTAACTAACTTGTCTGCTTGTTTGCTTCATGCCTGACGAGCTGCACCACGGAAGAGAGAACAGGGAGGGAATAGAGAGCAGGGAGGGAATAGAGAGCAGGGAGGGAAGAGAGAGCAGTGCAGAAAGAGAGAGCAGGGAGGGAGGAGAGAGCAGGGAGGGAAGAGAGAGCAGGGAGGGAAGAGAGAGCAGGGAGGGAAGAGAGAGCAGGGAGGGAAGAGAGAGCAGGGAGTGAAGAGAGAGCAGGGAGGGAAGAGAGCAGGGAGGGAAGAGAGAGCAGGGAGGGAAGAGAGAGCAGGGAGGGAAGAGAGAGGAGGGAGGGAAGTGAGAGCAGGGAGGGAAGATTGAGCAGGGAGGGAAGAGAGAGCAGGGAGGGAAGAGAGAGCAGGGAGGGAAGAGAGAGCAGGGAGGGAAGAGAGAGCAGGGAGGGAAGAGAGAGCAGGGAGGGAAGAGAGAGCAGGGAGGGAAGAGAGAGCAGGGAGGGAAGAGAGAGCAGGGAGGGAAGAGAGAGCAGGGAGGGAAGATTGAGCAGGGAGGGAAGAGAGAGCAGGGAGGGAAGAGAGAGCAGGGAGGGAAGAGAGAGCAGGGAGGGAAGAGAGAGCAGGGAGGGAAGAGAGAGAGCAGGGAGGGAAGAGAGAGCAGGGAGGGAAGAGAGAGCAGGGAGGGAAGAGAGAGCAGGGAGGGAAGAGAGAGGAGGGAGGGAAGAGAGAGCAGGGAGGGAAGATTGAGCAGGGAGGGAAGAGAGAGCAGGGAGGGAAGAGAGAGCAGGGAGGGAAGAGAGAGCAGGGAGGGAAGAGAGAGCAGGGAGGGAAGAGAGAGCAGGGAGGGAAGAGAGAGCAGGGAGGGAAGAGAGAGCAGGGAGGGAAGAGAGAGGAGGGAGGGAAGAGAGAGCAGGGAGGGAAGATTGAGCAGGGAGGGAAGAGAGAGCAGGGAGGGAAGAGAGAGCAGGGAGGGAAGAGAGAGCAGGGAGGGAAGAGAGAGCAGGGAGGGAAGAGAGAGCAGGGAGGGAAGAGAGAGCAGGGAGGGAAGAGAGAGCAGGGAGGGAAGAGAGAGCAGGGAGGGAAGAGAGAGAGCAGGGAGGGAAGAGAGAGCAGGGAGGGAAGAGAGAGCAGGGAGGGAAGAGAGAGCAGGGAGGGAAGATTGATCAGGGAGGGAAGAGAGAGCAGGGAGGGAAGAGAGAGCAGGGAGGGAAGAGAGAGCAGGGAGGGAAGAGAGAGCAGGGAGGGAAGAGAGAGCAGGGAGGGAAGAGAGAGCAGGGAGGGAAGAGAGAGCAGGGAGGGAGGAGAGAGCAGGGAGGGAAGAGAGAGCAGGGAGGGAAGAGAGAGCAGGGAGGGAAGAGAGAGCAGGGAGGGAAGAGAGAGCAGGGAGGAAGGAGAGAGCAGGGAGGGAAGAGAGAGTAGGGAGGGAAGAGAGAGGAGGGAGGGAAGAGAGAGCAGGGAGGGCAGAGAGAGCAGGGAGGGAAGAGAGAGTAGGGAGGGAAGAGATAGTAGGGAGGGAAGAGAGAGCAGGGAGGGAAGAGAGAGCAGGGATGGAAGAGAGAGCAGGGAGGGAAGAGAGAGCAGGGAGGGAAGAGAGAGCAGGGATGGAAGAGAGAGCAGGGAGGGAAGAGAGAGCAGGGAGGGAGGAGAGAGCAGGGAGGGAAGAGAGAGTAGGGAGGGAAGAGAGAGCAGGGAGGGAGGAGAGAGCAGGGAGGGAAGAGAGAGCAGGGATGGAAGAGAGAGCAGGGAGGGAAGAGAGAGCAGGGATGGAAGAGAGAGCAGGGAGGGAAGAGAGAGCAGGGAGGGAGGAGAGAGCAGGGAGGGAAGAGAGAGTAGGGAGGGAAGAGAGAGCAGGGAGGGAAGAGAGAGCAGGGAGGGAAGAGAGCAGGGAGGGAAGAGAGAGCAGGGAGGGAAGAGAGAGCAGGGAGGGAGGAGAGAGCAGGGAGGGAAGAGAGAGCAGGGAGGGAAGAGAGAGCAGGGAGGGAAGAGAGAGCAGGGAGGGAAGAGAGAGCAGGGAGGGAAGAGAGTGCAGGGAGGGAAGAGAGAGGAGGGAGGGAAGAGAGAGCAGGGAGGGAAGAGAGAGCAGGGAGGGAAGAGAGAGTAGGGAGGGAAGAGAGAGCATGGAGGAAGGAGAGAGCAGGGAGGGAAGAGAGAGTAGGGAGGGAAGAGAGAGGAGGGAGGGAAGAGAGAGCAGGGAGGGCAGAGAGACCAGGGAGGGAAGAGAGAGTATGGAGGGAAGAGAGAGTAGGGAGGGAAGAGAGAGCAGGGAGGGAAGAGAGAGCAGGGAGGGAAGAGAGAGCAGGGAGGGAAGAGAGAGCAGGGAGGGAAGAGAGTGCAGGGAGGGAAGAGAGAGGAGGGAGGGAAGAGAGAGCAGGGAGGGAAGAGAGAGCAGGGAGGGAAGAGAGAGTAGGGAGGGAAGAGAGAGCATGGAGGAAGGAGAGAGCAGGGAGGGAAGAGAGAGCAGGGATGGAAGAGAGAGCAGGGAGGGAAGAGAGAGCAGGGAGGGAAGAGAGAGCAGGGATGGAAGAGAGAGCAGGGAGGGAAGAGAGAGCAGGGAGGGAGGAGAGAGCAGGGAGGGAAGAGAGAGTAGGGAGGGAAGAGAGAGCAGGGAGGGAGGAGAGAGCAGGGAGGGAAGAGAGAGCAGGGATGGAAGAGAGAGCAGGGAGGGAAGAGAGAGCAGGGATGGAAGAGAGAGCAGGGAGGGAAGAGAGAGCAGGGAGGGAGGAGAGAGCAGGGAGGGAAGAGAGAGTAGGGAGGGAAGAGAGATCAGGGAGGGAAGAGAGAGCAGGGAGGGAAGAGAGCAGGGAGGGAAGAGAGAGCAGGGAGGGAAGAGAGAGCAGGGAGGGAGGAGAGAGCAGGGAGGGAAGAGAGAGCAGGGAGGGAAGAGAGAGCAGGGAGGGAAGAGAGAGCAGGGAGGGAAGAGAGAGCAGGGAGGGAAGAGAGTGCAGGGAGGGAAGAGAGAGGAGGGAGGGAAGAGAGAGCAGGGAGGGAAGAGAGAGCAGGGAGGGAAGAGAGAGTAGGGAGGGAAGAGAGAGCATGGAGGAAGGAGAGAGCAGGGAGGGAAGAGAGAGTAGGGATGGAAGAGAGAGCAGGGAGGGAAGAGAGAGCAGGGAGGGAAGAGAGAGCAGGGATGGAAGAGAGAGCAGGGAGGGAAGAGAGAGCAGGGAGGGAGGAGAGAGCAGGGAGGGAAGAGAGAGTAGGGAGGGAAGAGAGAGCAGGGAGGGAGGAGAGAGCAGGGAGGGAAGAGAGAGCAGGGATGGAAGAGAGAGCAGGGAGGGAAGAGAGAGCAGGGATGGAAGAGAGAGCAGGGAGGGAAGAGAGAGCAGGGAGGGAGGAGAGAGCAGGGAGGGAAGAGAGAGTAGGGAGGGAAGAGAGAGCAGGGAGGGAAGAGAGAGCAGGGAGGGAAGAGAGCAGGGAGGGAAGAGAGAGCAGGGAGGGAAGAGAGAGCAGGGAGGGAGGAGAGAGCAGGGAGGGAAGAGAGAGCAGGGAGGGAAGAGAGAGCAGGGAGGGAAGAGAGAGCAGGGAGGGAAGAGAGAGCAGGGAGGGAAGAGAGTGCAGGGAGGGAAGAGAGAGGAGGGAGGGAAGAGAGAGCAGGGAGGGAAGAGAGAGCAGGGAGGGAAGAGAGAGTAGGGAGGGAAGAGAGAGCATGGAGGAAGGAGAGAGCAGGGAGGGAAGAGAGAGTAGGGAGGGAAGAGAGAGGAGGGAGGGAAGAGAGAGCAGGGAGGGCAGAGAGACCAGGGAGGGAAGAGAGAGTATGGAGTGAAGAGAGAGTAGGGAGGGAAGAGAGAGCAGGGAGGGAAGAGAGAGCAGGGAGGGAAGAGACAGCAGGGAGGGAAGAGAGAGCAGGGAGGGAAGAGAGTGCAGGGAGGGAAGAGAGAGGAGGGAGGGAAGAGAGAGCAGGGAGGGAAGAGAGAGCAGGGAGGGAAGAGAGAGTAGGGAGGGAAGAGAGAGCATGGAGGAAGGAGAGAGCAGGGAGGGAAGAGAGAGCAGGGATGGAAGAGAGAGCAGGGAGGGAAGAGAGAGCAGGGAGGGAAGAGAGAGCAGGGATGGAAGAGAGAGCAGGGAGGGAAGAGAGAGCAGGGAGGGAGGAGAGAGCAGGGAGGGAGGAGAGAGTAGGGAGGGAAGAGATAGTAGGGAGGGAAGAGAGAGTAGGGAGGGAAGAGATAGTAGGGAGGGAAGAGAGAGCAGGGAGGGAAGAGAGAGCAGGGATGGAAGAGAGAGCAGGGAGGGAAGAGAGAGCAGGGAGGGAGGAGAGAGCAGGGAGGGAAGAGAGAGTAGGGAGGGAAGAGAGAGCAGGGAGGGAAGAGAGAGCAGGGAGGGAAGAGAGAGCAGGGAGGGAAGAGAGAGCAGGGAGGGAAGAGAGAGCAGGGAGGGAAGAGAGAGCAGGGAGGCAGGAGAGAGCAGGGAGGGAAGAGAGAGCAGGGAGGGAAGAGAGAGCAGGGAGGGAAGAGAGAGCAGGGAGGGAAGAGAGAGCAGGGAGGGAAGAGAGTGCAGGGAGGGAAGAGAGAGGAGGGAGGGAAGAGAGAGCAGGGAGGGAAGAGAGAGCAGGGAGGGAAGAGAGAGTAGGGAGGGAAGAGAGAGCATGGAGGAAGGAGAGAGCAGGGAGGGAAGAGAGAGTAGGGAGGGAAGAGAGAGGAGGGAGGGAAGAGAGAGCAGGGAGGGCAGAGAGACCAGGGAGGGAAGAGAGAGTATGGAGGGGAGAGAGAGCAGGGAGGGAAGAGAGAGGAGGGAGGGAAGAGAGAGCAGGGAGGGAAGAGAGAGCAGGGAGGGAAGAGAGAGTAGGGAGGGAAGAGAGAGCATGGAGGAAGGAGAGAGCAGGGAGGGAAGAGAGAGTAGGGAGGGAAGAGAGAGGAGGGAGGGAAGAGAGAGCAGGGAGGGCAGAGAGACCAGGGAGGGAAGAGAGAGTATGGAGGGAAGAGAGAGTAGGGAGGGAAGAGAGAGCAGGGAGGGAAGAGAGAGCAGGGAGGGAAGAGAGAGGAGGGAGGGAAGAGAGAGCAGGGAGGGAAGAGAGAGCAGGGAGGGAAGAGAGAGGAGGGAGGGAAGAGAGAGGAGGGAGGGAAGAGAGAGCAGGGAGGGAACAGAGAGGAGGGAGGGAAGAGAGAGCAGGGGGGAAACTAGGGGAAAGAAGGGGGGAAAGATTGAATAAGCAGGGGGAAAAGAAAGATAGCAGGGGGGAAACAATGAATAAGCAGGGGGGAAAGTAAGAGTGAGCAGGGGGGAAACGATGGGCAAGCAGGAGAGGGGAAAGCCGCCAGTAGGGAATGTGGAAAACTAGCGCGAGGGGAAGCAGGGAAGCAGCGCGAGGCGAAGCAGGGAAGCAGCGCGAGGCGAAGCAGGGAAGCAGCGCGTGGGGAAGCGGGGAAGCAGCGTGAGGGGAAGCAGGGAAGCAACGCGAGGGGAAGTGGGGATGCATCGCAAGGGGAAGCGGGGAAGCAGCACGAGGGGAAGCGGGGATGCAGCGCGAGGGGAAGCGGGGAAGCAGCGTGAGGGGAAGCATGGATGCAGCGCGAGGGGAAGCAGGGAAGCAGCGCGAGGGGAAGCGGGGATGCAGCGGGGATGCAGCGCGAGGGAAAGCAGGGAAGCAGCATCAGGGGAAGCGGGAATGCAGTGCGACGGGGATTTGCCTGCGTAGGTGCTTAGACCGCTGGTGCGCTGTGAGAGTGCCTTCCAGGACAGCGGTGAGAGGGGGAACTTGCCGCTGTCTAATCCTGCTTTTCACGAACTCAATCCGCAATCCCGTTTCTACGCCATGCACCCTCTCTCGGCATGGAATCCTGACTTTACCCCAGAAGTGTGGGTTCATCACGCTCTAATATCTTGCTTCTCGCAAGGAGCTATTCTCACTACTCAATACTAATGGATCCTCGAGTAAAACATGCCATCGAACAGCATGGTGACCGTTGAAGTCGTCACACCATTCGTTTACGAAACGCGGCCCATACGGCGAGCAGATATCCGACGACGAGACCAGCTGATCTAAGGCGACGAGGTGAACAGATCTTAGGCGCTGAGGTGAACCACTGTTAGGCGAGGCGGCGCTCTGATATCGCGCGACGCGTACCGGGAAAAACCCAACGGTGTGTTTGACTGCGCTAGTAATCCGCGGCCGACGTGCCCTAAATCACTATTGCGATCGAGGTGAAGGTTGGCGAAGCAGGTTTGATTTCATGGCGAGTATAATCTCTGGAATCACTACTAGGGGTCTATCGACTGAGCAAACAGGCAACCATGGTTGGAAGCGTTTTGGTCTACAAACCATTGTGCGGGTCAAGTTCTAATCTGGCGAACTTTGTTTCGGCTGTTGGTCTGCTCACCCCCACCCCCCTCCCTCCTTCCGCCTCGACTTTCGTTTCTCCGCAAAGGGGTACTTTTGGGGACAGTGTTACCCTGTTTTCAAGTGATAAACCTTTGCCTCCCACTTGAGGTATGTAGACCTTTGGTGCTTTTCGGGGCAACAGTCGCGGAACATAGCCCCTGTTTCGTAACTCGCCGATTCAAGTCAGAATTATTTGTGCTGGACGTTTTTTGTTCGGACGGTACTTAGCCGTGTACGCGCAAGTGGACACAAAGTGTTTTGTATACGTGTGGTGATATACAGTTTATTCATACGAGCAACTTTACGAAGAAAAACGGTCACAAGTCCCAGAATTAGTCTGCATGACACGCCCTAAGATGCTTCGTGCCCAAAAGCGCTTTTCCTGCGTCACCACTTTGAACCACTCCGCACTTGAGCATTCACACATGAACTGCTCGTGACCCGCCCTAAAGAATGAAAATATCACATGTGCACAACGGAAGAAAGACACTGGCGGGTGGGGGAGCCACGTTTAAATAGTTGCAATGTACAAAAAATCATTATCGTGTATATATCCCCCTTCCCCGCATGCCGTCTTGAAAGTGCATGAGCCTGGCGGGGCCAAAGCACCCATGGGAGCGGCGCCACGTGGCGAGGGAGGAGGCGAGGTGCAGCAGAGTGAAGTGGCCCTCGAAGCCCCACTGGCTGTGCGCGATGAAGGTGCTGCCTGAGAGGTGCCCCGCGTCTGGACTGGAGGCGTGTACTGGTTGCGCTATGGGTCGTCCATGTCCTCATCGTTGTCCCCCTGGTGGGTAGGAGGAGGTGGGAGGGAGGAGGGGTGAAGTTCAACGAGGGAGCGAGGGAGGAAGGGAGGGAGAGCGGGGGCAGGTAGGTGGGTGGGTTGGGTTCGGTTGTGGTGGGTTGGTTGCGGCGTGGAGGGCCGCTTCACTCTGCTCCACCTCGCCTCCTCCCTCGCCACCTGGCGCCGCTCGCACGGTTTCGCTGGTCCGTCTCGCCTCATGCTGTTCCAGGACGACATGCTCAGAACGCAGGTGAGCAGATGGGTTGGGTCGGTTGCGGCATGGAGGGCCGCTTCACTCCGCTGCACCTCGCCACCTGGCGCAGCTCCCATGGCTGCTTTGACCCCGCCCGCCTCATGCTCTTTCAAAAAGGCATGCTCAGGACGCAGGTGAGCATATGGATTGGGTTGGGTTGGGTTGGGTTGTGTGTGTTGTTGGTTCCTCGCTCCCATGGCTGCTGCGGCCCCGCGCGGCTCATGCTCTTACAGGACGGCATGCTCCGGGCGCAGGTGAGCTGGTCGGTGTGAGGCTGAGCGGAAAGTGTGTCTCTTTCTCCCTCTCCATCACTCCAACGACTGCTGCGGCCCCGCGCGGCTCATGCTCGTCATCGGGATGGCATGCTCCGGATGCAGGTGTGGGGTTGGGCTGGTTCGTGGGTTGACTGCTGCTGCATTCATCAGTTGCTCAAGCCACGCACTTCCTATTCCCTGCATGCATGCAAGGTGACTTTCGAGCCACGCACTTCCTATTCCCTGCATGCATGCAAGGTGACTTTCGAGCCACGCACTTCCTATTCCCTGCATGCATGCAAGGTGACTTTCGAGCCACGCACTTCCTATTCCACGCACTTCATGCATGCATGCACGGACCAGCCCACACAGGTAACAGCATGGGCCGCATGCTCAAGGCTGTGATGGGCCTGGAGGAACCTGTTACTTGAGGTGGGGTGTCAATTCACACGCCCTACCACCCTCCTACCCGCGCAGTCACCCCGCACACATACAGATATCAGCGTGGGCCAGCAATCAGGTCAAGGCTGTGCTAGGGCCGGGGGCAGCGCCGCCGTTCAAGCCACCAGACGGAATCGCACCGGGTTGTGCGCTGGTGCTGCCAGTGAGTGCGGTTCTGCTAGTGAATGTGGTTATGCGGTGAGTGGGCCTCTTCCCCTTCCTCCTTTTCCCTTCTCCTCTCTTCCCCTCCCCCCCTCTTTCCCTTCCCCTCTCTTCCGCTCCCCTCCTCTTCCCCTTCCTCTCTCTTCCCCTCCGCTCCTCATCCGCTTCCCTCCAACCCCCCCTTCCTCCCCCACCTATAGCACCCGAGTACCAGCAGGGCCAGCACCAGAGGACACCCCTCTGCTGCTGGGGGGGAGGGCATGGACGTGCGCATTGCCTTTGCTGGCTGCGTGGTCAACTGTGGTCTATTTTGTTTCTCTTCTCCCCTCACCCTTCCCCACCAGCACCCGTGCGCCAGCAGTGCCAGGACCAGAGGACCCCCCAGCGCTGTTGGGGGAGGAGAGCATGGACGTGCGCATTGCACTTGCTGGCGACGCTGACAACTGTGGTCTATTTCTCCCCTCACCCTTCCCCACCAGCACCCGTGTGCCAGCACTGGAGGATCTCCCACCGCTGCTAAAAAAGGAGGCCATGGACGTGCACATTGCCTTTGCTGGCGATGCGGACAACTGTGGTCCATTCTGTTTCTCTTCCCTCCTTCCCTTTCTCTCCTCCAACCCTTCCCTTCCCCCGGATCTCCCACCTTCCTCCCCCTCCCCCCCCTCACAGCACCCGTGTGCCAGCAGTACCAGCACCAGAGGACTCGCCACCGCTGCTGGGGGAGGAGGGCATGGACGTGCGCATTGCCTTAGCGGGCGACTGTGACAACTGTGGCTTCACTATATCTCCTCTTCTTCCTCAACTTTCCTCTTCACCCTGCCTGCTCTTCGCCTTTCCTCCTCCCCTTCCCACTCCCCCCCCCTCCTCCTCCCCCACCTATAGCACCCGAGTACCGGCAGTGCCAGCACCGTAGGACTCGCCACCGCTGCTGGGGGAGGAGGGCATGGACGTGCGCATTGCCTTTGCTGGCAACGCTGGCAACTGGGCGCGCATACCGTGGTTCAACTTCCCCCTCGGCGCCACGTAGATTCGCCAGGTGTGTGCTGGATTCAGCTTGCGTTTTGAGGTGGCTACTGTTCCAAGAGGGGATTTCTGCCGTGTCAAGGTGAGCTGTGAGGTTTTTCGGGGCAAGAAAGAGGGAGGGATGCGCGGAGGGTTCAGAGGTGGTTCAACTTCATGAGACCGAGTACCGGCAGTGCCGTGGTTCAACTTCTCCCTCGCCGCCACGTCGATCCGCCAGGAGTGCGCCGTTTTCTCGCTCAGCTGCGAGGTTGCCACTGTTCCCAGGGGGGATTTCTGCTGCGTGAAGTTAAGCTAAGAGGCGTTTCAAAGCCAGGCATGCTGCAGATGACCAGTCGGGGCTGTTGCTCTCCTCACCTGCGCTCTCTATCACCTTCTCCACTCCACTCCTTTGCTTCTTTCCGTCCACCTTCTTTTGCTCTGCCCTCTCCTCTCCTTTTCTCTTTGCTCTCTCTTTCTCTCTCTCTTCTCTCTTCTCTCTTTCACATCCCTGTTTTGAACTCACCAAACTTGTTTCATCACACAGGTTACTTCTGTCGCCATCCATATCCTCGTTATAAGCTCTAACCCCTGATCTCGTTATAAGCTCTAACCGTTTTCTCTTCCCCCTGCTGCGACTCACTCCCCACAGGTTTTGGGCATGGGCAGAGCGGACATCGTGATTGGTCCGTGGGGAGACTGGGCACTGGACAACATAATTTTCCTGCTGCCCGGATCAGCAGAGCTGGAGCCCATGAGGACGACCGAAAGACTGCCAATGTCGAGACGAGACGAGACGAGACGCTTGCTCTCATGAATTGAGACCCTCACCGCACAGAACCCCTCTACACTCCCTCTACACTCCCTCCACACTCCCTCTACACTCCCTCTTCACTCCCTTCCATCCCAGCATCTCCAATCCCCACCAACACTCCCTCCGCCCCATCAGATGCGCATGGATGTGGCAATGAAGGACGTGATGTCATGGGTGAGCAAGCACCTCGGTCCTCGATGCACACATGCATGCATGAGCCCTCACGCTGCACTCCACCCCTTGCCCCTGCCTTGCACCACCCCCACTTCCTGGGGCAAAGAAGAGGAAGAAGAGGGAGGGGGGAGTGCTGTCGTGCGTGAGCAAGCACCTGGAGACGCTGGGCCGGCGGCAGAAGGGAGGCGCAGAGGATGGCGCCCCACCTTCCTGGAGTCGTGAGTGCACCGCAACCTGCGGTCTCAAGTGGGGGAAAGAAGAGGGGCAGATACAGACCCTGCAGCCCACGTGAGTAAAGGGGGGAGAAGAGGGAGGCGCAGAGGATGGCGCCACACCTTCCTGGAGTCGTGTGTGCACCGCAACCTGCGGTGTTAACTGAGGGAAAGGGAGGAAAACAGGGTGCAGGTGGGAATATCTGGGACGAGCCTACCTTCCTGGCGTGGTGACTCGTGTGTGCACGACGCTCTGAGACACCTACCGGCGATCGCCAAGTGTTGAAGAAGGGGGATTGGTCGGGATATTTTACTTTCTAGGAGTCCTGTCCTCTGTGTGTTGCAGCCTGCAGTACTGCGCCATGCGCCCTAAGCCCTGTGATACAGACACCGGGCTTCGTATCAAGAAAGAGGGGGGATGGATGGACCCAGTTTGGCTTAAGGATGGTTAGTGCAACGTAACCACTGATACTGAGCCTAGGGCTGTTGCTTCTCAGAAGAAGGGAGGCCAGTTTCGCTTCGAGCTGTGTATGCCTGGCAGTTTCTGAGAGGAAGCTAGCCACTTACCTAAGTTGGGCACTTGAAACACAAACTAGCTGTGCTTGACCCCGAACACCATCTGATAACACAAGATTGCAGCATGTTTAAGTACTCTTTGCCCCGTGATCAGGTTGAGGGGAAGGGGTGAAAGGGGCAGATTGCATGGGGCTGAGCTAGCAGCCGATACTGCTACCATTCCAACGGTATTAGCTTGTCTGAACTTTAAGTGATACTGTCACCCCGCATTCACCCAGATGATCTAGGATCAAGAGCAGTTGCTCTACTTTACAGAGGGGTGGGTTGGGGATGCATAACTAGCTTATGAAGGAAGGATACTCACTCTTGCCATCGCTCTAGTTTTTACAGAAAATCAGGGAGTTCACCACCTTCTGCTACTGGCATGGAGTCGAGTGAGGGTAAAAAAAATCGTTGATACATTCATAGCAACCTACATTTATCTGTATATTATATACAGGTACTCCGTACTTACTCTACTCTTCATCATTAATGAACTTCCCTGTACCGGGGTTAATAGCCGCGACAAAAAAGAACGAGATGCTTGCCAACAGCAGCGGCTCCAGCTCAAAAATCGGTAACCCAGTCTCGATATTCAGCTGCGCCAAAGCGCCTCTCCCGGTGATCACCTCGCCGATCAAGCTCGCCGCAAACCCTAACTGCGCCATCCGCCCCACAAACAGCTCATTCGCCTTGGTGAATCCAAACAGCGGCCCGTCGTCACTCAGCCCAAGCGCGGCCTTGAAACTTCCCGGCTTCACCGGCGGTCCAGCAGGCGCCTCGTCATCCACGAATCGCCCGCGATCGCCCAGCCCGCCGATCGCGCCGAGTACGGTGAATGCAATGAAGAAGAGGAGCAGCGGCTCGGCTTCCGTGATGGGGATCCCGGTTTCGAGGTTGAGTTGCGAAAGGATTCCTTGACCGGTTACCGCTTCGCCGAGGAGCGACGCGGCGAACCCAAGCATCGCCACGCGGCCGACGAAGAGCTCGTTGGCTTTCGTGAAGCCGAAGCCGCCGGATGTGCCGAAAATGCCATCTTCTGTACGGAGCTGCTTCTTCACCATCAGAAAAATGGGAACGCAACATTGGGTGGTAAACGCCGAACTGCGTGGGATGTATGACGTGCCAACCGTGGTTTCTTCCCACCCCGATAAACGACCAGGGGTATTGCCCGATGTACGTTGAAAACAGAGGGGGGTCGTGATCACCGTTTACGCGCGAAAATTGTGCTACAGTGACCTAGTGCGCGTTGTCATACATTCCGATAAGTTGCCCAGTACCCCCACTTACGACTGAGTAGTATCGAGCCTTCGTTTTCCACCTACCCTAGTTTACTTAGACATCCCGCGCATCAACCGTGGTTGGTGTCGCTTTACCACCGCGTCATCAGCCGAGGCGAAACAAGAAGGGAGAATTTGTTACCAGTGTGTTACACGTAACAAATTCAGTTACCTCTCGTGTATTCGGAAACTTCTTCACTTATGTTTTATATTTCTGAATTGTGCTAGTAACCTGGTAACATGATTTGTTACCGAGTTCAAATATAATCTGGTTACGAATCCACCGAATGGTAACACGGTTGCATTTGCTAATAAACATAATAAATATATTCAGAAATCGGTTTCACTAAAAATTTTACTAGAAAATCGATTTATTAAATTATGTCATTCATTAGGAGTCAGACACCACCTACACACCTACATACCCATCCTTCAATCAGAATCCGCACCTTCCCTGAACCCAGCAAAAACCCTTGGGATCATCACGCTTCAAACAGGAGGGATTGTTCAGCATCGCCTCGTGCAGAGCCTCCACAACAACAGTAGTCTTGGCACGGACGTAGTTACTGTTGGTCGACTGAACACCACCCAGAGAAGGCTGGCCATTCCCCGGCCTGTAGCTTTGCAGGGGGGCTTCAACCTGCAGGGTAGCATACGATAGGGGGTCAGCTGTTAGTGGTTTATTTACAGGTACGGTAAAAACTGCTAAGCAAGACACTTACCACAACACAAAGGTAAGCCAGCATGGGAATCTTCACCCAGGCCAGATTGGACGTCACAACAGAGAATGCAACCAGAGCTGCCTTCTCAAACGCTATGTTGGCGAAGGGAATCCCCTCGCTGTTAACATGCCACGAAAATCCAAGTACACCTGCACATAAAACAAAATATAGATTAGTGAGGCGTTGAACAAAATTTGAACATACAACATTGAAACCGAGCTGCTCACCATGCTTGAAGTCTTCCAGCCACTTCGCTTCATCGCGTTTTTTCGACGGGATGATCTGCTCCACCGCTAGCAACGGCCACTTGCTCTCATTCACCAACCCACCCGCACCCCATGCATAGAAACGGATTTTCTTGTGGGTGTTGCTGCGTTTTGTTTTTATTACCTTCAGCGCCAGCTTTTCGAACTCGATACGACCACCTGTTGCGTAGAAATATTCATCGCGAATGATTCCACACGAACGAGAAGAGGTTGATGAGGTTGAAAAACTTCCCAAGTTGGGAAGAACTCCATGAACTCAACTGGCACGTCTGTTATCAGCCACGTGAATGTCTCGAGAGCTTTTATCTGCAGTCGGGGAGAAAGGTGTAACAGCAGACATATATTAAACAGCAGATACGTTTACGCTTTGGTCCACGAGTAATAAGCGTAGAAAGAAAGATTGACACACGGACTGTCAAACACAAAATGTTCTGACTCATGCGTAAATGTAGCTTACCCCGAACTCCTTGGGAAGAAGGCTAGTTTTGGGAATAACGTTGCCCTCGTTGTCCCTCGTGAGAAGCGCAGGGTTGACCTCGGGGTCATCTGGAGACCGCTCCGGTGCCTCCGCCGCCCGCTGCGCCTCAAGCTCAGCTAGTCGTGAACGTAGGATTTCGCACTCAGCCTCAGCGGCGGCAAGTTTCTGCTATGCTTCTGCTCCTGAATTTTGGAGGATGTCAACTGTCGCCCGAAGATCTTCCACTTTCGCCTGCAGACCGCGATTCTGTCTGACCCAGTGCGCATTAACACCTGTAAATAGGAACAAACGGGAAGATTAGTCAAATCACACGACCAACCCAACGACACAATAACATTATAACACAGCAGCAAAAATGAAACAACAATTTAAAGTCATATAAACCAAGCACTCATCACAATGAATACACTCACCTTCCGAGCGTGTTCCGTGTACGACAGCGTTTTGATCGTCGACCGGCTGTTGCTGTTGCTGAGCAAGCTGCTGCTGCTGAGCAAGCTGCTGCTGCTGAGCAAGCTGCTGCTGCTGACCAAACTGCTGCTGCTGAATGGCTGGTTCTTCAGCAGCATCACCTTCTCCCTCGAACTCCTCGTCCTCTTCTTCCTCGTCCTGCTCCTCATCATGTGCCTCGTCCAGCACAGTGTTGAAGGCGGAGCGGTTGACATCCGTCAACAGTTCCCCAGCCAGCGCGCCAGTGGTTGCGGCAGCAAGGAATTGAAGGTTCTGCTGCTGCTGAAAACTCACGGGCGGAGTTGGGGTCGGGAGAGAGTTGGTGTGAAGCTGCTGTAGGAAACTCGCGCCCGTTGGTTGACCACCGTGCGACTCAGGTTCAAGCGGTTCCTGGGTAGTTTCAGCAGCAGGTAAGTCATCTGCTTGGGGTGTAGCACCTCCACCCTTTTTGCCCTGGTTCTTGCCCTTCTTCCCAGCAGACTTTCCGGAGCGGCCACCTTTCTTAGGAGCTGGCACACCTGACAGTACGTGAATACACTTCTTCTTGGCGACGCTAGCTACGGAATCACGGCGCTTGAGAGCGTGCTCGTAGAGAGCGCGATGGCTGTTGACGAGTTCATCTGCTTGAGCTTCTGTCAAAGCTTGTGCAAATGGCGATTCTAGCGTGACCCCTCCCAGCTCCTCACCAGGTCCCCGCACCCGTCTGGTCAGCCCGTTGCCTGCCCGATAATTTGGGTCCTCGTTATCTCCCATAGTAATCTACAATAAATTACAATTTACTTCCCTTCACATGTCAAATACTATGGATTCGGGCTGAGGGCGAGTTCTAAAACGGCACGGAAATTACACCGCCTGGGATTTGACCGCCAGGGGTGCGATGCCAACGGAAAAAAAATCACGATACTGCTTAGGATGTCTCTCATTGGCGGCTTCTCGCGATGTCGCGCCAGCACATTGCATCCAAATTGAGAATGCTGGCAGCTCCAATATTCGTGATCGTCGAATCATCGAGACTGCATTTTCGTGTGCATCGAGAAATCTAGACCGTCTAGATGGTATCTTCGCGATGACAGCACGACTGCTAACGTCACTTTGCCATCCTTTTTTCACGCACGAGTCAACCACCTGAGCAACTATTCACCTAAGCGACCGTCCAGATATGCGTCAGGTTAATTAACCTGGCGACGTTCTGATGTGGCTGGTGCGCAGCTACCGGCTACGATTGGCCACCGCCTGGTGTGTTGTGGTGTGTTTGCCAGCTGTAGGCAGACGAGACATTTCAAAAAAATAGATGATTGGTCGGCTAGTGCGAGGTCACGCAACCACGTCGCAAGCGCAGTGGACATCCTGCCAGCGAAAAGGTTCAGGACCGTCAGATGTGGATGACTGCGCGTAGGATTATTTCACGACAACTCAGCACAAAAATGCACCGCACATCGAGTCAGCCAGGTACGTTGCACGTCACTTAGCCACCCAAGTTCAACCACGCGGCAACCACACAAGCGTCACGCACCTGAGCTGTATCCAGCAGCGCGTCAGCTCGATGAATGTAACTCGGTTTTTGTGCGCTGGTGCGCCGCAGCCGCTCCGGATTGGCCAAAAAAAATTGTTTTATCCAGCTGTTGGCAGACGTGACGTGTCCTACCATCTCCATAGTAAATTTTATTTATCTTTGTAGCCATCACTTGTATAACAATTACACCCATTATATCCTTTGCTAACAAAGTGTGTGTTCTGTTTTTTATGGAACAATTCATGCAGAAATTGAATCTGATCATCCTATACATATTATATTAAAAAACAGCAACAACAACATCAACAGATCTCTCCAGCATGCTTGAAATATACTAAATGCAACGTTGGTAAGAAAAACTCCCTTTTGAAATTAACAAGCGGGCGTCAGTGTCGCACTACATGTCGCACAGGCCTATCCTTGCACGTTTTTCCCTGCTCGCATGTTTGGAGCATCTATCCCTACGACCATTCCCCAATCCACAAAAAACACAGTTATCAATAACAAACTGACGCTGATTTGTCACAACGTGTCGCACAGACCTATCCTTGCACAGTTTCAGGCCAACAAATGCACAAACAAGTGTCAGGAGCTGCGTTCTTGTGCGAACGAGGTCAAACCAGTTCCTATGGCTAGGTAATAGGATCTACTAGGGACTTTGTGAATAAATAGAGGTAAAAACGACATCCAGACGTTGAAACAATGACATGTTGCGCACAGGCCTATCCTTGCACAGTTTCAGGCCAGCAAATGCACAAACAAGCGCCACGAGTTGCGTAGTTGTGCGAAAGAGGTCAAACCAGTTCCTATTGCTAGGGAATAGGATTTACTAGGCAACGTTGTGAAGAAATAGAGGTAAAAACAACACCCAGACGTTGAAACAGTGACATGTTGCGCGCAGGCCTATCCTTGCACAGATTCAGGCCAGCAAATGCACAAACATGCACCACGAGCTGCGTAGTTGTGATAACGAGATGAAATCAGTTCCAATGGCTAGGTAATAGGATGTAGTAGAGAACTGTGTGAAGAAATAGTGGTTAAAAAGGCGTTTAGACGTTGGTGCAGCGACATGTTGCGCGCAGGCCTATCCTTGCACAGATTCATGCCAGCAAATGCACAAACATGCACCACGAGCTGCGTAGTTGTGATAACGAGATGGAATCAGTTCCAATGTCTAGGGAATAGGATGTAGTAGACAACTGTGTGAAGAAATAGTGATTAAAAAGGCGTTTAGACGTTGAAACGATGACATGTTGCGCGTAGGCCTATCCTTGCACAGATTCAGGCCAGCAAATGCACAAACATGCACCACGAGCTGCGTAGTTGTGCTAACGAGATGAAATCAGTTCCAATGT